CCTCTTTTTAGAATTAGTTTGATTCTCCAATCACTTTTCTTCAACAGAAGGTTTAAATGACAGTAGCAGATTGAAAAAGCAACTGCAATGGCAGCAGCAACAGAAAAGTATAAATTACATTATTTTTGATGAACTGTGATGTGTATTTCAATGAGACACTTTTAAAGTTGTGTCAACAGCTGGAGAGCTGTATATTTTAATGTTGCAAAGTGGGCTAGGATTCACTAGGCCCTTCTAAAAGTCCATGCAGCTATTAAGTGTTCATGGTCAAAAGTTATTTTCAATCTTATAATAAAAAGTTATAAGTTTTAAAAATACTTAAAACAAAACTTTAAAAAAAGTTTTAAAATTTTCAACTTCACCTCCAAATCTAGCACAGAGCCTATTCACACGTGAAGCATAGAGGGCACCCTTCTGTCCCCACCAGAGTTACTGGCAAGCAGAAAAGCCCTTAAAATCCTGAAATGGTATTTTTCCCTTTTCCATGAATGAGTGGCTCAAGAGATTTTGCTCATGCTTCCCCCCACACACAAAAAATCAATTCTAAACGTGGAAAATTTAACCCCAAAAGGAGAATTTTTAATATCAAAGCATATGAAAACTGGGGTTATAAAGAAAGTCTCATTGTAATCTTAACTATTTAAAAATATACTATAATTAACTAAGTTATTCTAAATAATAAAGATGATAGTTTAGTGCAGTAGTTCTCAACCAGGGGTACAAGTACTTGTGGGGGTACGCAGAGGTCTTCCAGGGGGTACATCAACTCATCTAGATATTTGTCTAGTTTTACAACAGACTACATAAAAAGCACTAGCGAATTCAGTACAAACTAAAATCCCATACATACAATGACTTGTTTATACTGCTCTATATACTATACACTGAAATGTCAGTAAAATATTTATATTCCAAATGATTTATTTTATAGTTATATGGTAAAAATCAGAAAGTAAGCAATTTTTCAGTAACAGTGTGCTGTGACACTTTGGTATTTTTATGTCTGATTTTGTAGGCATGTAGTTTTTAAGTGAGGTGAAACTTGGGGCACACAAGACAAATCACACTCCTGAAAGGGATATAGTAGTCTGGAAAAGTTGAGATCCACTGGTTTAGTGGATATAAATGAAAACTGGCGGGAAGAGTCTCATAATTAGAATGTCAGTACAAGACTCTCTAAGTACATTTTAGTGGGGCCTACAAACACCAAAGTATCAAACAAATAGAGAAACAGAACCCTCAAGACCTATACATGTCTTTGCTGAGTAACCACATTACTGTAATAACGACAGGTTTCAGAGTAGCAGCCGTGTTAGTCTGTATTCGCAAAAAGAAAAGGAGTACTAACCAATTTATTTGACTAACCAATTTATTTGAGCATAAGCTATGCATCCAATGAAGTGAGCTGTAGCTCACGAAAGCTTATGCTCAAATAAATTTGTTAGTCTCTAAAGTGCCACAAGTACTCCTTTCTTTTTGCACATTACTGTAATCCTTGTTCTATATATTCTCTTACTCCCCTATTTAAACATAGGCCGCAATAATAAAAAGGGATCCTTTACTCCTGTACAAAGACCTCTATAAAAAATGGAAATTCATTGCAGGTATAAGTAATTCTCTTTACAGGCTCTAGGCTTGTAAACTCTTCAGGGCAGGGGCCATGTATTCCCTTGTAGTAGGTGCTTCACTGAAACACTTCACGCTCAAAAAAAACAAATATGACAAAGCATTCCCTATCTAATACATAAAATGTGATATACAAAAGGAAAGAGTACATTCACACTTCATATAAATTCAAGATATTTATTCCTGCTGTAACTCTAAATGCAACCTTACCTATGACAGGTTTCAGAGTAGCCGTGTTAGTCTGTATTCGCAAAAAGAAAAAGGAGTACTTGTGGCACCTTAGAGACTAACAAATTTATTTGAGCATAAGCTTTTGTGATCTACAGCTGAATTCCACTGAATGCATCTGATGAAATGAGCTGTCGCTCACGAAAACTTATGCTCAGATAAATTGGTTAGTCTCTAAGGTGCCACAAGTACTCCTTTTCTTTTTGCAAATACAGACTAACAGGGCTGCCACTCTGAAACCTGTCACTTAACACAGTCACTTTCCCTAGAGAAGAGGGAGGAGCTAGAACCACTATAAAAAAAATCTTTTGATAGATTCTACAATAAAGCCTTCTGGAATGTTTAAAAATAAATCATTCCATCTTTAAAATCATACACTAATCAGTAGCTCACAGGAGGAAAAAAAAATCCTTGCATTTCCTCACTACACTACCACCATTAAGGATACAATAATCCTTTCAAGTTCAAACTCAGTCTTTACTTCCTACTTTTACCCACACGGTCTTGCACACAGTGGGAAGACTAGGAGCAGCAAACACAGACAACAACTGAAAGGAATTCTGAACCTCTGTCCCTTCCATGTATTTGCATTAGCTATCCCTGGTACTTTCTCTCTACTCGTCATCGGGTAGTTGCTAAATACAAAATAGTTTCTAAAAAGGATTTGGTTCAGGTTTGACACTGAAAACTGCCTTATAAGGTATAAAAGCCTGAAAGCAGGAAGAGGCTTTGACAAAACTAAGGAAGTTCCGCTGCGCTTGCTCACTAGAAGAGGGGGGAGGGTTTCCCCTATAGAGAAGTAATACCGAATAAATTATTTGATCCATATATTAAAAAAGAAAACCCATGGTATTTAGCAATAACCCGTGAGCTCAGAATATTTAATGCACACAATTACATGACTGAACAATAGAAATAATGCTTTTTTTTTTAATCATTTTGCTATCCTATCTGGATTCTGAGTAGGGTCCACCCTAACCTCAGCAGCCCCTGAGCAGGAGCCTGCTTCCTTCAAGACACAGGCAGCAGGCTTGGTCTTGAGAGATTCTCAGTCAAGGGTGGGGAACATTGCTTCCTGAATGACCGAGACAGGAAGATTTCTAGAGCAGAATGAATGAGATTAGGGTAGAAAGGAGACCCTACCAAAAAAACCCAAGAGGGCGAGGGGAGAATGCTCACCTTAGGGTGTGACCCTGCTCCCAGAGTCAGACTGATTTTTGGAGGGTCAGAGCAGACCCTGCCCCTGCACAGTCAGCCCAAAATAAACTGGGGGCGGGAGACGGTGCTACTTTGGGAGAGGCCCACTCCCACAGGGAGTCGGGGGGTGGGTGCTGAGGTCTGGGTGGGAGCCGGCGCCCACCCAGATCTGGGGGCGGGGGGTGCTCCTGGGGCGGGAGCCCGGGCTCACAAAGCCTTAGGCGGAGGAGGGAAGGAGCTGCGCGGAAACGGGGTGGGGAGAAACGGGGAGGGGGGGCACTTCAACCCCTTCCCCCGCTTTCTAGCCTCCTCTCCCCGCTGACACCCCCGCCCCAGCGGGGGCTATTGTGGGGCAAGACACGTCCCTGCAGCCTCCCCACCGGGGCGGGATCCGGGGGGTGAAGAAGATACCCCACCCCACACGGGCACCCACACGGGAGGCCCCCCCCCAGCCCTCGGTGCCTGGTACCAAACTGTCAGCAGTCTCCCTGCTGCCCATTCATCGCCGGCTCGCCGCCCCCGCGCTCACCCCGTGCCGCAGTCCACCACGCAAGCCGGTAGCCGCCCTGCCATCCTCCTCGCTAGAGATGGTGCTGGCCGGGGAAAGGTGGGGGGCCCTGGACTCTCCTTCTCGCCGCTCTCTCTCCACTACGGGGGAGCGAACGCGGTCACTTCCGCAACCCAGCCAGTCCCTCCCCCGCTCGCTCGCTCACTCACAGCCCGGGCGAACCCAAGATGGCCGACTCCCTCGTCCCTCCCAGCGCAGCACGGCGAGGTGGGAGGGCGCAACAACCGAACCATTCAGTGACGTCCCATTTCTCGTCCTCGCCCATACGAGCGGGTGTGAAGTAAAGCGGGCGGGCTCCTCTCCGCCTACTTATTTTTCTTTAAAGAGCCTTGGTTTCACCACCTGATTCTTCAAGGTCCTTTTGAAGGAGGATCAATTAAAAAAAAAGATCTGCCAGTTATTTGAATAAAGAGGCAGAAAGAATTATTCGCCTTCTGTTATTTGGGAAAAGACGCAGGGACAACTGAGTGTTGGATGGAGGGAGGAAGAGTTGCAAAGATTAAACCACAATCAACCAAATTCCTGTAAATTTGGCCCTGTTGAAATAGTGGGATTGGGGAGGAGGGCTGCACGCAATGTTCCCTCTAATTTTTGACAGGCTGTGTGTGCAAAAAAATTATTCAGTGCAAATTTTTGTGTGCGCAGTGTTTCGCTGTGTGCGCGGGGTTTAAGATCTGTGTGCGTACGCACACTGCTTAGAGGGAACAGTGGCTGCAGGCACCACCAAACTCAATTCCCAGTAATTAGGGTCTTTTGAAATGGTGGGATGAGGGAGTACTCAGTTTCCATATAAATATGGATTACGCATTAAATGCAGAAGTGTATACTGCTTGGTTCTGTCTCTGAAGCGTCCAAATGCAAGAGCAGACAGATGTAGCTGTCTCCCAGGAGTACATTTTGTGAATCATGTACTCGTTGTGGTAGCTAGTATATGCATTTTTTTCCATTGGTAAAAAGCAAGTAGCTCTTCTTACAATAAAAAAATCCCCTAAATATAAGTGGGAAAATAATAACAATAAGACCTGTTTTAAAAAAATTGGCAGTGTCCTTTTATTAATTATTTATAGCACTGAGAAATGTGCCATATGCTTCACATTAGACATAGAAGGACAATTTCCCTACCCCCTACACCCAAAAAAACTGTACAATCTAAGAGGTCGGGGGTCAATTATGGCAGCTTTGCCACAAGCCCTGTGTTTTATCACCATCGTCCGCAAATCCCAAAGGGATGTGGCCTCCTTGCAAATTGAGCACCACCTTGATCGATCTCTGGCAAAGAACTTAAGGTGGCCTAGTTGTATATTCAGTTTATAACCATCACTGGCAATTTTCTCACACCACCAAAGCTTTTGACACCCACATGATTGCCAGCCATGTAGACACATTCCTTGGTACACATGCTTTGAAATTCATTGGTCTGTCATTCTAATAATATGTCCACCCCAAGAAAACCTCTAAAACCAAACCAGTGCTGATTAAGGCAGTTGCTGAGTTCGGTTTTGAATATCCTCATTTCTAATCCTGTCCTGCCACTTGATGTGGAGCAGCTGATGAAAATGACAAGAATCATCCATCTGGGGTTCTTCAGCCCTCCTCTGTGCCCACATTTCACTTCTGTACAGTAGAGTTGGTGTAACTGTGGTTCTGCACATCTACAGCTTTGTAGCAAGCTTGATGTCATGACATCGCCATGTGGGAGGAATGTTAACTGGGTTCAAATAACAGTTCTGGGGAGGATTTGGAGGTGGGAGACAGCCTGGCCTAGTTTCTGTCTTATTGAGGGCCTCCTGAAGGTATGGTTCAATGGGACCCTGTGCAGTGGTTTGCGGATGGGGAACCTATCCCAAGTGTCTTTCCTACCTCACTGCTACAGCTGCTTTCATAGTTCCCATGTGTTCTCAGGACAGTGTCCGCTGCTGCTTCTTTAGAACATTTGGGTGCTGCCAACATTTTCCTGAAGAAGGCAAGTAAAGGGAAGGTAAAATTGAAGGTTTTTAAGGGTTAATATCTCAGAAAAAGCAGAATGGAATTTCATGGGATAAAGAAAAGGCACTTCTATAGCCTGAGTGCTGTCCTCCTTCCAAATATCAAAGGAGACTGTGACTCAGGGAGCAAAACAGTATCCCTTGCAAGTACTTGATCACATTTTGCCGTAGGGATTTTTGTCCAGGAAAAACAGCGAAAGCATGATAACTGACTAATAGCTCTCTAGCATCCAATATCCTAACATAATGCTTCTGTTTAGTCTACATAACGCACTTTAGAACTACAGCTGAAATGGAGAAGAAATAATAAAAAAGCTGCTATAGGAGTATATTGATTATTTCTTTTCAATAGTAGTTCCATTTACTAGTAAATGTAAAATCAAACCCACAAGCACTTACTTTAATGCAGAATATGGAAAACGTCCAGTAGTTTTCTTCTGTTGGTCTAAGCATTTTCTGTGGGTTGACAGCACAAAGACAAGGAAAAAGTAGAGTAGCTTATGTGGAAAGTGATACAAATGTAGCAAATAATTCCATTGCCGTCCTTTCCTGTCAGTTTATGTGTTGTTTCTCTGGTCTGAGTCTATATTAAAAATGACATTGCAGAAGAGCAATGATATTGTATTTTCCGTTTTACTAAATGACAATGGGATTTACATGCAAAAAGCCAAAAGCACAGATTTGATCTGTATACTGAGATGTTTTTGTGTTTACAAATAGAGTATGTGTAATTTGCAGCATTTTCCTCAGTACCTTGTGATATATTGTAGGTTCCTCTTTTTGGAATACAATGCAAAGTAGGGGTTGGAGTCCTGCAGCTCTTGCTCAGGCAAAACCTCCATTAAAGCCAATGAGAGCTTTTCCAAGGGAAAAGGCTGCAGAATTAGGCCCTTCAGCTCTGAGTTGAGTTCTCATTTTTTATTTAATCAATTCTTCAAAGTTTTGAGCACTCTGGCCCCAATACAGCAAAGAATATAAGCATGTGCCCACCTTTTCAACTTTAAGTCCTGTATGGTTGTATAGTAATAGCACGATTTTGATGTTCAGTGCCAAAATCCAGATGGACCAAGCAGGACATAGTTGCTGGATATGTGTTTTTGTGGCAGTGTTACGCCATGATACAGTGGTATCTAGACTGCTTTGGTGGACAGGGAGAAGTTACATATATACCAACTTTAGATGGTAAAAATGGATGGTATTTAAACAAAAATTATCCAGATTTAGAGGGATTTTTGATGCCAAATTAGAGATTTTGTATACCAGATGTGTTCCAGATCAGATTTTTTCAATGTAATAGCAGAAGCAACCCTTATTTCTGTTTTGATGGTACAATTTCGGAAGTTTGTCCCAGGATTTTGCAGGATCCAGATACCAGAGCCAAACTTTGGCAGTGTTGATGCCATTACTAAACTGGATGGGATGCTTTTCAGAGTCCCAAACATGCTGGGCCATTCCCCTCCAGCTACTGACCTCCTCTCCCAGATACAAAAGGAGTAGCTATGTGTGTCCAAATATAGATTGAGGCCCAAAGAGCAAAATGAAGAGAAAGATGCAATGAATGGAGAAAAGAAAGGCATTAGAAATGTATTCCTGGAATTGCACTTTGTGTAACAAGGTGCCACTGCTGGATGGTGGGGAAGAACTGTGCAGATACACATGAATGATACTTTTTGGAGCACGTATGTGTACCTCTTATGATCTAACAGAGTGCTAGCTCAGAATTTAAGAGGCCCAGGTTCAGCTGGCTCTGCCATTGACTTCCTTTGTAACCCTGGGCAAGTCACTTAGTCTCTTAGTTTCCTGTCAGGAAAATGGCAATAACAGTACTTTACTACCTCATGAGGTGTTGTGAAGATAAGCACATTTAAGATTATCTGGTGCTCAGATACTATGGTGATGGAAGCCAAATAAGTACCATATGTAGATTTTGAGAGCTACTTCATACAGGTCCAGAATTTGTCCTCTTTGTAATAAAAATAAAGTAATTAGCAGGAAGGAGAGCAGTTATTATCTTTATTATTGGTGTGTCCACATGTGGAATATTTAAGGTGTATATCATTTTGGTGTCTAATCATCATTTAGTAGTTTGTCTTGGATTTAGAAAAATCAGTTATTGTTTAATTCCATCAGAAATACATACAAAATTTTTACAACCCACAAATTAACCTTCATGCAGGGATATGTTCCCAAAAGACGACTGAATAAATTTCCTTGCTAATCTACAGCTTTGCTGTTTGTATTATTCCTCTGCAAGCTCAATGATTTGCAATAGTGGAGAACTGCTGGGGATCGGTTTGACTCTGTATGTGCCTGAGATCTCCAGACAGAATGTGCAGTTTGTGATCACTGAAATCAAAGGAACAATGACATTGGGTTCAAATGCAGTCCTAAAGACAGGAATATTTCACTACACCAGCAAAGCAGAAATATTTTCTTTCTGTTATAGAACCTCACTTTTCCTGGAACATTCGAAAATAAAACACCTTCCTTTTTATTATTAGTTTATAAGAAAACATGTATATACAGCTAAATATTTACACAGTGCCATGTGCATTTTGTCTTTCTAAAACAAATGTTGATGAAGCCAATAGATTATTTCTTCCAAAATATTTAAAATTAAAAATGTTTAGTGTGTGTGTGCATACATTAGAAAGCAGGGAGGGTGTGTGATCAAATTTTACTGAAATTCATACTATTTTAAAAAAATTGAATCTCATTTTAATATACTTCTTTCCATAGTTGCTTGCCTTTAGTGACGGATTGGATTCTTTAGAAATCCCCATTAGTTTTCTGATCATACCCACTTTGAACTAAAATTCCAAAGGCCCAGATCCTCAAAAGTATACAGGCATCTGACTCCAATTGAAATCAATGGAAGTTAAATGCCTAAATAGAGAATCTGGGACAGATTTCCTATATGATGCAAGTAAAGTCACTTAATCCAAACTTTTCACAGGTGGTCACTAACTGAGTATTCCTGATTTTCCTGGGTGTGTGATTAAGATACACTGGGGTCTGACTGGCAGGAGTGCTGAGCACTCACAGCTGTAAGTGAAGTAAACAGAAACTGTGGTTTGAACATATAAAGGATTAATGTTAAGTCTTCTGAAAAATCAGGTCCTATACATCTCACATTGGGCACCCAATATTAGGTGGATACTTTGGACCTTAATCTTTCTCTATCTCAGTTCCCCTCATCTTGCAAGGGCATTGTGAAAATGATTGCATTAATATTCGTGAAGCAATCAGATACTATAGTGCTGAGCATCACAGAAAAGCCCATAAAGGAAATTAATAATTCTGTCTTCAGAGCAGGGTTTGAACAGTAAATAAGGCACTGGGCCACATATTGCCCAATTAGCAGAAAACAAAATATTGGATTGCTGAGCATTAAGTGAGCACTGTCCACTCTGCACACTGAATGAGGTAGAGGTTTGTGGGGAAAAAAACAAAATGTGATCATGTAATTAAAGACTGCATCATAATACGTGTGTGCAAGGGAGGGGCGAATTAAGGTTGCACCGGTGACCTTAACTCTGGCATTTCCCAATTTTTGAGTACTTGACTTTGCATCCTTAATAATGTTCTTTTAACATAGATTTGTGTATGTATGTGTGTATAATTGCATATCATCTGGACATTCCGAATATAGGAACATAACTGTTTCTAGACTATGAGTTGTAAGACATGCCATATATCACTCAAAAGATAATTTCCCCTAGATTTACAATAAAGTCTAAGTCCTAAATTTGTCCTGTCACAATGATTTTCTCTTTCTTATTATGCTTTCTCTAGTCTGTGAGTAAAAATACTTTATTAACAAAGCTTATTGGAAATTAGGCAATCTGTAATATCATGAAGAAGCAGAAAAAAGGCAGCAACAACAGCTAGAGTTTCAAGCCAGACAACATAGGAACGTTAGCAGCTAGAGGAAAGTGAGAAAAGGGCCCAAGCCCTTGTCAGAACCTCTGGCAGAGGAGAATCTAGTACATTGGACATTGTCATTGCTATTGTATCAAAAATTGTATACTTTAAACAGACGATCAATTACGTGCAGCCTGGAATTTCAAATGTGATTGCTTCCTTACATGGCAAGAACCTAAAAAATAACATGCAAGGTTTATGTTACATTTTGCTGCAAATACTACATGCAGGATAGCTAGACATCCAATCGTGAGTTTTGGAAGAAGTCCAAAGACCCCAAATAGGGAAGTGGCGAAGAAGAAGAAGTTGATGATACACTTAATCATGCAAACTTAGAAAAACTACATGTGAAGAGAATTTTCTTTTCACTTTATTCCTCATGCAATCTTCTCTCCAGTTAATTTCACAGAATATTTAAATAACAAAGTTTTAATGACACTGTGCTCATGATTCACGTGTGTGTTTGTTGAGACAGAAGGAATCTGCATGCCACTATATCTGTATTCCTTTAACGATGTTGTCAGGTAACAGATAAGCCTGGACAATTGGGATGTCCCAAAATGGCTATCAGTTCTTCTCCCTATCTCTGCAATTTTGCTGGCTGTCATGTGGTATCCTTATGGACCCTATGTGGAGCTCTTTGTTCTGTACATGGAGTTCCTTCTGTGTCAGCTGCTCAGACTTGCAAGGGAGAAGAGAGAAGTTCTGTCTTCCCTGATCACCTCCTCAGCTGCACAGACCTAATGCTACTCTCTTCTCTCCTTGGCCTGCAGTTCTTACCCTGACACTTTCAGTGGAGCAATGATAAAATAATATGCCATTTTGAGTCCTAAGGCATCACAGCAACTAAAGATACATCATTACAGCATGGAGAATGAGAGACACAATGGTACACATAGCGCCTTGCACAACCTCCCTCAATTACGCTCCACTCCTAAATTTAAAATCTGGAAAACCCACAAAACCTTGTGTCTTCCCCAGTCTTGGCATAACACCACTAGACTCAATATTGTCCCACAATTAATTCCTTTTTAAAGTAAACCTTTCTCTTTCCAATGCTAGGAAACCAGTTATGAATTAGCTGATACTCTATCCCAGGGGTCAGCAAACTTTGGCATGCAGCCCATTAGAGTAATCTGCTGGTGGGCCGCAAGATGCTTTGTTTATGCTGATCGTCTGCAGGCACAGCCCCCCGCAACTCCCAGTGGCCGCGGTTCACCGCTCCCGGCCAATGGGAGCTGTGGGAAGCAGCGGCCAGCACTTCCCTGCAGCCTGTGCTTCTTCCCACAGCTCCCATTGGCTGGGAATGGCGAATCATGGCCACTGGAAGACCGTGCTTGTGGACAGTCAGCGTAAACAAAACATCTCACGGCCTGCCAGCAGATTACCCCGATGGACCGTGTGCTGAAGGTTGCCGACCCCTGCTCTATCGCATCCGCAACAAAAAACAGAGACCCTGAATTAGTGTCCAAGTATGCCCCTTTCCTGAGATTGGCCTTTATTGATAACCAAAAAAAATAATAATACAATAT